AGCCTCCAACCACCTGCCCCCCAAGGGAAACCATCCATCCCCTTCCCTTCTCCAAGTGCCAGCCTCCAACCACCTCCACCACCGAGGGAGAAGCTCCATCCACGCCCCTCCCCCAAGGGCTAGATCTAACCACCTGTATTTCCCAAAGGGCCAGCCTCCATGCAACTCCCTCTTACGAGGGCGGGCCTCAATCCACCTAGCGCCCCTGAAGGACAAGCCTCCAACCACCTCCCTCCCCCCAGGGCCAGCCCCCAAACCCCGCCCTCCTTCATGTGCCAGTCTCCACCCACCTCCTCCCCCAAGGGCCAGCATCCCTCCACCTCCCTGGCCCAGGGGCAGCGGCGTCAACCTCCCTCCAGCATGGCCAGCCTCCGTCCGCCTCCCTCCCTCCCGGCCCAGGCCCCAGCCACCTTCCTCCTGCAAGGCTCAGGGTCCCTCCATCACCCTCTCCCCGAGGGCCGGCCTCCAACCACCCTCCTCCCCCAAGGGCGAGGATCCATCCACCACCCTCCCCGAGGTCCAGCCTCCACCCACCTCCCTTCTACAGGGCCAGCCTCCAACGACCTTCCCCGCCCAAGGCCAGGATCCATCCACCTTCCTCGCCCAGGGTCAGCCTGCATCCACCTCCCTCCCCCAGGGCCACCCTCTGACCACCTCCCTCCCCCAAGAGCCAGGCTCCACCCTCTCCCTCTCCCAGAGCCAGCCTCCACCTCCCTCCCTTCCCCACAGGCCGGCTCCGTCCACCTCCCTCCCCGCCACCTCAGGCCCCATCGACGGCCTCTCGCCCTCCCTGGTCAGCCTCCAGCCCCCTCCCTCCCCCAAGAGGCGACGTCCTCTTGCTCTTCTGCAAGTGCTCAGACTCCACCTGCCACGGCTCCCCAGGGCCTCAGCCTCTGTCCCCCGCCCTCCCTCCCTGCAAGGGTCAGCCTCCGTCCACTTTCCTCTGGCCGTGGCTCGGCCTCTGACCACCGCCTTCCCCGAGGGCTCAGGCTCCGGCCACCTCCCCGCCCAAGGGTCGGCCTCCACCCCCTCCCAGGGACGCAGGCTACTGCCACCTTTCTCCCTGCCAGGGCTCAGGCTCCACCCATCTCTCCTGCGAGTACTCAGACTCCAAGGCCACCTCGCCCCAGGGCCCGGGGCTGCGTTCGCCTCCCCCCGGCCAGGGCTCCGGCTCCGCCCATTCCCCTCCCTGCGAGGGTTCAGGCTCAGCCACCTCCACGGCAGCGGTCGCCCACTCGCGGAAGCTGGCTGGGAGGGGAGGCTCGGAGTTGCTCCCTGCTTCGCCCTGGGAACGGC